CTGCTGCACGGACTATTATAACATTCTGTTACTCCCCGGGACTGGCTCTTTAATTGGGTCCCTACCTTATCCCTACGGAGGCTGCTCACGCTGCCCTTCATGACACTGGGTTCACAAATGTTTTCAGCTCAAGACCCAAATATTCAAAAATACATTATGAATTGCTACAACACCGCCATGTGTTAACTACCAATAAAAAACACAACAAATTTAAAATGTAGGCTATATCAATGCAATAATGAACTGGCTGAGACTAATGTTCTCACCACCTTACAACTAACTTGTGTGAAACAAACATCACTGGGACTGTCTGACAACAGCATCATAGATTATATTTATTAAATTCAGAATGGACAGACTAACATTAACATAGACAGATACATGTGTGGTGCATCATGCAACATACCTGCCATTCATTTTATTTCATGTGATGCAACACTAAATACCTTTTGAAGAGCAGTCCAACTTGGTGTGTTGGTGCAAGAGCTCTAACTTACTTCAGTCACACAATAACATTCAATAGTGTGCCTGTGATAGAATCTGTGCTGGCTCCTTCTCCTTCCTCCTCCATTATCTCTCTTTCTTTTTCAGTACATACATGGTGCAGTCAGTATTTAACAGGGATATTTTTCACTTCTGGGCTGCTGACCACTTGTTATAGCAAAAAGAATTGATGAGTATTCTTTAAGAAATATGCATACAAAAGGCCAAAAGAGAAATGACCAAAATTACAGAAATTAGCAGCCCATTCTTTTTAATGAAGGGAAGAGGACAATTCCATGTTTATCTGACCCATTTACAGTCAACCAATGTCAATCATGGAACTTTCTTTGCAGACATTTTGGGCCAACTTTATTGTGCTGACTTCATTAAACGTTTTGGCACCGACTGCGCTCAGCAGCCACTCGGCGACCTAATGAAAACAGATCTGTGAACCATTTTGGGTTGCAACCCTAAGTTTGGGAAAGGCAGGGATAGATAATCTCCAAATCTTACACAGATTTTCTAGTGTGTAAAAACTACATAGTAATATTGCCATGTTGTAAAATCCGGCCTGCCTATAGTCCAGACTTTGTCTTAGTTAAAGATGGATAACAGCTAATTTCAGGTGGTGAAAAACATACTTATTTTCTTTGTGCATACATCTGTGACAGATTATTTACAGCTAGTCATTACTGTATCAATCATGAACACACTAAATAAAGAGGAAAACAAAATACACAATGGTGTGAAAGGGAAAAAAAAGGTTTAAATGTTTTTCTGGAAGTGCAGAAACAACTGACTGAACAAACACCAACATGAACTCCTCCCCTCTGGACGGCCTTACAGGTCACTGTGCACTAAGACAACCAGGCACAGGGACAGTTTCTTCCCCCAGGCTGTCACCCTGATGAACATTTAACCAACGACAGTATGACTGGACAATAACCCTCAGTGCAATACCTGTATATATACATTGTACAGATTATACAGACTCGTACAGGTCTCTAGTTTTAAGTACTCTGTTTTTATCTCTATTTATCTCATTTCAATGAACATTCTATTGTTGTCTGCATTGTTTACTGTCTATTTATAGTGCTTATTCTGCATTGTTTGCACTGTTTGTTGCTTTCAATGTTGCTGTTAATACTGCTTATTTTGTTATATTACACAACCTTATGCTGGTTTACTGTTTGCACATTGAGAGTCGATGTACCGGAGTCAAATTCCTCATGTGTCCATCACACCGGGCTAATGAAGCTGATTCTGATGGTGTGATTTTGTTTGACAGACTGAAGCTTTTTATCAGCGTAAAACATCTAAAATATCTTTGTAACAAATGTTGAGGGAGGTCTACTTCAGTTGCCTACTCTGACCACCATGAAAAGTTTGATTCAAAAGTAGCCCCCACCTCAGAAAAACAGGAACAGAACATAGACTGACAAGCCTTGTAAGTAAAACATAGCCTAAAGGAATTACCAACTGCAGTGATGCCAATAAGCCCAGCTACACTCACTATGGTCCTCACCCCATCTGCTGAAGTGCCACCTCAAGGAGAATCAGAAAGTAGAGTTTCAGGCTGATTTTTCTTGAGAATCTGAGTCTATATAGCAGGACTTCTTTGAAGAGGCAGAGACAAACCTGCTGTGCTCTAACATTGCAGCAATTTGTCTGTTTTTAATGCCAGAGCACATTATGAGACAGCGTCTGGCTGTTGTGTTTGACACTTGGTAAATGCTACTTGCCTGAAACACTTGAGCCTAATAGAAACTACCCTTTTGCCTCGGCTGCCCGTTCAGCTGCCCTTCTCTCTGCCCTCCTTTCAGGCTTCACCAGAAGCAGCTTTGCCCTTCAGGAGAGCTGAACAAGAAGGAAGTAGGACAGGAGGAGGAGCAGTGTGAACACAAGGAGGCATGCATTCATAGTGGCTGCTTGCGGTGAGGAAGGACAGCAAGGAGAACCACTGAGATCCTACAGAGTGTGTGTTTGGGGGCTATCTGCTCATCAATAGACAACATGAATGTAATGCATGCAAATGGCAGATGCTCTGTGGAGAAAAACATACGGCAGAGGAAGATAGAGTGACAGTGACTGACATGCACCTCACACCTTGAGGAGCAGCCACATCCTAATACAAGCTAATCCCTCTATCAGCCTCTTACCTCACCTGGGCCTGTCTCTGCAACACCAGTGTGGCGGCACAAAATGGGTGACAGCTTTTCCGGGATACACTCAGTATTAAGAGTTCCATGCAGTTGAGTATTTGGTCAGCACAGTCCCTGTCCTGTCACTCACACAGCTCCTGCTGATGCTTCCTTATTACAGGAGCAGCATGTCATGAACTGAGTGCTGATTACTGATTGTAAAGACTGAGCCAAACAGTCATTTGCTAAGTTGGCATGGACAGCAGTAGGTATTTGTGACTGTCACGCAGCTGTGTATCGTATTGTAATTTGAGGGTGCATAATGGATTGTGATATTTTATCATTATAAGACTGTAGCCAGCAATTACTTGTATTTATTAATCTGATGGTTATTTCTCAATTAATCACTTGGCTCATAAATTGTCCTAAAATAATAAAATGTTCCTCTCAGTTGATCAAAACCCAAGGCGATGTCTTCAAAATTGCTAGTGTTGTCTGACAAACAACAATCAATATTTTGTAAAACAATATTATCCACCTTATTAAAAAACAGGTCAGAGATAGTCACAAGCATTACAGCTATGCGTTATAAAATTAATGTATTTTTTGTCCTTCTGCATCAATGTACTGTATCTGTAATATTCAAATGCAACATATTTTGCTTAAACATTTGTTTTGATATTTATTACACTGGGATTTAAACACTACAGAAAACAGAACACAAAAGGACTTATATTAAGCTCACTGTGACTCTTTAAAATATGATTTACATGCTCATGGGCTACAATGAACAATTATGTTAATTATCAACTATCAACTGAGATTCTCCATTCTGATTTCTTGTTCTGTCGATAAAACTGTGAAAAACGCCCAACAGAATGTGTGACATCTTCAAATGTCTTGTTGATCAATACCCAAAAACACTCAGCTTTTGATCATGTGTGACAAAACAACAACAACAACAACAACAACACATTGGCATTTGGCTAAAACCTGATTATCAGAATACTTTGATTCTCTGTTGATCTGCTAATTACTGCTGCTGTCCCACATAGATCTGTGCTTTCTCTTTCTGTACAGGTTAAAGTTTCAAATTATCCAGAAGCTGTCAAGATCTAACATTCCCCCAGTTGTACAGGAAATATTTACACTGCTCATAAATTTAGCCTGCCAGCACTGGATGAGAGGATTAACACTCTTCCTAAAATGGCACCAAGTGACTGTAAATCGACTCAGTTCAACTATAAACAGAAGATCAACATCAGCAAAGCAATGTTTCTGTGAGTCGTTAAAAAGTGAGTAAATAATTTATGGAATTGATAAAACAAAAAGGGGTGGCGCAGTGGTTAGCCTCACAGCAATAAGGTTACGGGTTCGCGCCCCGGTCGTGCCTTTCTGTGTGGCGTTTGCATGTTCTCCCTGTGCCTGCTGGGTTTTCTCTGGGTACTGCGGTTTCCTCTCACAGTCCAAAGACATACAGGTTAGGTTGACTTGCGACTGTAAATTAGACTTCATCCGGAAGGGCATTCGGCGTAAAACATGCCAAGTTTAGCATGCGCATCATCAGTTGGGTGGCAACTGATGATTTGCTGTGGCGACCCCTATCGGGAGCAGCCGAAAGTAGAAGGAAAAGACTTCATAAAACAAAAACAGACTGTAATAATCCAGCTCTTTTCTTTGACTGACAAGGCAGTACACCACCGAACAAGTCTTGACTCTTTGTCTATTTATAAAATACTAATCACCAAGTCTTCAGTAGGAAGGAGTGAACTATCCAGCTCATGATAATTAAACCACCTATCTAAACAAAACTGGCTTCTAATTTCGGCTTTTTGGAACGTCCCATTTCAGCTATACTAATTCCAGTCCAGACGTTTTAGACAAGGTTCGATACATCAATAGGCTATATTTGCTGCCGTGTCAACCTATACGCAGCCTAACTCCCCAAATGAACACGGTGTGTAAGATGAGTGGAGGAGGTTTAATCACACAATACACCTCCCAGTTAACAAAAATGGCAACTATGTTACAACAGTAAAGGCGATATTAAATGTCCCGGCTAGGGAAATAAACAGGGGGAAATAAACAAACAACATCTGACCATGAAGCAGCGGAAACCGAGGAGTAATAAAACACCACCATCTGCAAAGCGAGGAGAGGCTGCAAAGACACGGTACCCATCCTGTTTTTGAAGTGCCCCTTTTCGTTTCTAGTAAACAACCATGAGAGAATATATGAAGCACAAACCGAACAAAAAATAGCATAAACTCCGCCTTTATACGGTCACAGTATTTATAAAGCAGGAAGGGTAGGGGAGCTGGATGTCCGTTATTGTCCCTGTCTCCACCAACTTGATCCAATTTAAGCTTGCCTTACCTTTCTTGTATTCCGTTGCCTCGTTGGTCTCGGCGATTCTGGCGGATATCGGTAGGTATTTTCAGTGTGTGAGACTCTTGTCGGTGTAGGTGCTAATGTTGAGCCGTGTCTTCAGTCCTTACTCTTCAGCTTTAGCTAGCTCGCTGCCTCTCCTCGGCTCCTGGTGCTGAAGTGGACAGCGCACCGAGGAGCTCTGGGAAAAAAAAAAAAAAAAAAACCCACAAAGAGGCTCAAAACCACTCCCTGTCGGACCGGAGGAACGTCCTGAGTTATTTGCACTGGGAGAGCGTCACCTAGCGTGGTGCTTTCTAGTGTCATTGACTCCAGGATTATGTCCTATGCACGGGTATCTGTTAGCTTTCACATTCTGACACGAAGGCTGGCAGGAAAAGTATAAGTGTAAATAATAAAAAAATAATGATGTCTGAACTCCATTTAGCTGCTTCAGTTTCACAGTCCTGTTTTTGTGCATGCTGACTGACTCACTGTGTTGAATAGAACATTATTAGTAACACCTGTGCTTTTCCTACAATGACAAGTCAAAATATCTGCTGTAAAAAGTCCTGTAGCCTATATCAGTGCACTGAGATGTAGGCTAATATTCTTTAAACTATATGCTGTGTTTTAATCTAAGTTTGGAGGTGCTGATATTATTTAAGGTATAGTGAACATTTGTCTAGGTCCTAAGGAATCCCATAACATGTGATTTTGCTGAAAATATCACAAATGTCAGACTGAAATCCCTAATCAAAGCAATCATCCTTTCACATTCTCACATTAATAGCAGAGAGTCTAGTTCAATTATTTTTCATTTAGCTCTGAATCCTATGGTACACATGCAATAAGCCCTGGTGGTCTCACCACTTTAAGAACCACTAAACTTAATATTCATGTCATAACCCTTATCCACTATTAATTTTCCCTTATTTTTTCTAAACTTCCACTGGTGTTCAGTGCCCAGTATAACTTTAGTTAAATGTGAGTTGTACTACTGAATAAAGGTCATTAGTTGAGGACATTACAATATATTATACACAGACAAGATAACTTGAGATGTCAAAGGAAATGAGAATAAATGCAGCTGTCAACTGAAGTTATCCAACAATTTCAACAAAAAATAAAGCCAGTCATCAGTAAATGATGTCTTCTTCCACTCATCCATCCTTCTGATTTGCCAAAGAAAATTATTTTGAGGCTGAGATACAGTATAATTACAAGTCTATATTACAAGTATTTTATACCTTAATCAGAATTTAAGCATATATCACATGTAGTTCATGTGATTTTTGGGTGTACTGGAATACATTCTTTTTGTGGGCATTTTTGTGCTGCACGCATTTTTTACCAAGATGTGATTATGCACATGTTCTCTTATGTTTTGCGGCGGGTTCCAGTTAAGTTTCCAGTAAGCCTGTTCTTCATGGTCACATGGGGTGTATAGTGTCCTGTGTGGTGGGCTGTAAGGAGTGGTCCAGGGCAGCAGTGAGGTCACCCTGTGTGACAGCAAGGGTAGCCTGCCCTGGCAGTAGGCTGGGGTCTGTCAGGATGGCTGTGGTGGTACTCAGGAGACGGAGTGAACTCAGAACCGCTGAGAGGACACAGAGAGAAATGACAAACACAGGGCACAGCTAATGTGAAGGAAACAGGAAACACATGGAATGTTAGCATCAAACCGTTGTTGTGGATAGTTGCTGTAAAAATATGGTTTGAGATCTAATTTAGGAACTAGTTGTACTCACTGGGTCTTAGGGCAGGCAGAGAACAGTACCGCTCCAGCCAGGACAGGGTGGATCGACACAGGTCCTCTACACTGGCAGTGGACACCATTCCATTATAGGACTCAAACAATGGCTCGATAATGATACTGAACTGACAATAAGCTGAGGAAAGCAGTCTGGCTTATTCAAATATAACACAAGAGTCTTTAAATCAGGTGGCATCTTTAAAAACATGTCACAAAATATGTATATATTTTCATAAAAGAAAAAAGGCTCAGTAATTTCTTATAACCAGTGACTGTGATTTCAAGCAAAAATTACTCAGAGAGGAGAAACTAGTGCAAAAAAGGCTACAGTGCAATGTCGTGGCTCACTGATGTGTTTTAATAGTTACCGCACAACTTTGGAGCTCTATGGCAAAGAGGAATATGATAAATGAGTTTTAGATACACATACCCTACTGGCTGGAATCAATACATGATTGACTATTTTGGCTTTTTCACAGAAAAGATTAGAAAAATAAGAAGCAGTAGTCAACAAAAAATAAATTAGTCAGTTCTGGTTGGTGAATAGCATTGTCTGTGGAAAGGCTATTAGTGGTCAAATTTTAGAAAATGCTACAATTTTGACTTTGTAAAGAGAAAATATCCTCTTGGAAAACCAATGTTTTTAATTTAGAATAAGATCATAACAGATACAGATAAAACACATTGTCTATAAATGAACTACAGACAATACCTTAATATTTATGAAGAGGGAACACCCTCAAGGTGTTTTTGTGCAACACACAAATAATGATGAAATCATGATTGACTGTAATCTTCTTATCT